GAGAAATAAAATTGGGCCGAGAATTGATCCCTGTGGAACACCTCAGAATATATTTCTGGGGGGCGAAGTGCTCGTGTCAATTACAACATACTGTTTGCGATCGGAGAGGTAGTTTGTAAACCACCAGGGTACTGTACCCCTAAATCCATAATTTTCGAGTTTACTGGTTAATATGCTATGGTCAATGGTATCAAATGCTTTTTTCAGGTCAATAAATATACCAATAGTGATATATCCACTGTCCAGATTTGTAGCTATGTCTTTGACCAAGTCAGCCAGGGCCCGTTTAGTATTGTTTTTTTCCGAAAACCATACTGGAATTTTTGGAGTATTTCAAATTTTTCTAAGTAATTAGTTATTTGTTTGCCGACAATTGTCTCAAAAACTTTGCTAATGACAGGAAGAATCGAAATAGGCCTGTAATTTCCCACATATGTGCTGGATCCTCGTTTAAATACTGGAGTAATCTTGGCCATTTTTAGCTTATCTGGGAAAATACCTTTTATAAATGAGCAGTTAATGATGTGAGCAAGGGGAACTGAGATAATGAAAGACGACTGAATTACAAGTTTTGAGTGGATTAGATCGTAACCAACAGACTTTTTTGGGTCTAAATGATTGATCTCGGTGAAAACGTCATACTCAGAAACAGGATGGAAAAAGAATGAATTAGACTGGCATCTATTGAGATATTTGTGATGATCACTGTTGTTAGTTAGCAGCTAGATTCGGCCCAATATTAGTAAAGAATTTGACAAATTCTTCGGCGATATCGGTGTTGTTAGTTAGAATGTTGTCATCAGCAGTGATGAGCTTTTGTGAAATGTTATTAGTGGTTTTATTGAAAATTTCATTGATCACCTGCCATTTCTTATTATTGTTAGCAGAGTTTAATTTATTAGTGTAGTAACGTTTCTTTGCCACTTTGAGCAGTTTACATAGAAGATTCCTTTACTTTCTATAGTAAGTGCGTATCTGGATATTATGTGGATTTTTTTTCATTTTTGTGAAAAGTTTATATTTAGTTTTGGTTGATTTTAGCAAACCTTTCCACAGCCATGGCTTATTGGCATGTTTTTTGTTCATGTTAGCTCTTTTTTTCTTCAGGTGCTCAGAGGAAATAGTGTGGAAAATGTCATAGAATGTGTTATACACTTTGTTAGGATCCAAACAGTCATATACGGGTTGCCAAGAGACTTTGCCTAAATCGCTCAAAAATGCTTCCGAGTTGTAATTGTAAAAATCGAAAATGCCAGATGTAGATTTCAATTTGAATATGTGATGTAGGTTTTTTATGGTGCCAAAGATCGGATAGTGATCAGTAACATCGCTTTCGATAACCCCACACTCAATAAAAGAGTCGGAGATATTAGTTAACAGGTGATCAATGGTAGTATTTGATGTGTATTTGATTTGAAATTATAAGTGCAAGATAATTAGTAGCAGATGGGGAGTTAGTGGATGTGTCAATGTTAAAATCGCCGAGAAGAATACATGATTTACCTTTGGTCGACAACTGGTCAAGACATTCTTCCAAGCTAATTAAGAATTCGTGGTAGGGAATGTTTGGTTTGCGGTAATTAACATCTACAACCAACCTTTTGTTAATAATGGTAGTTTCCACAAGCATCAATTCACAGTGCATAATTTTTATTGTATCTGCGCTTTCAAAGGACAGAGAGCTGTGTATATACAATGCAACACCTCCACCCTGTGAGTGTTGTCGATTGCTTGTAACTAGAGTGTATGATGGCATGTTGTAGAGGGAAGAATTAGAAGTC